TAAGGCTATCAAATTAATTTTCTGCATTTAAATACATGCCTGCAAAGTTTCCAAATCAGTTCTGCACTTTCAAAACCACGCTTATAAAGTTTTAAATCACTTCTGCACTTAGATATCATGTCTATAGGAAATTTCAGAACTACTTCTGCATTTAGATACCATGTCAATTGGAATTTTCAGAATCATCTCTGCATTTAGATACCATGTCTATAGGAAATTTCAGAACTACTTCTGCATTTAGATACCATGTCAATAGGAATTTTTAGAATTCGTCTACACTTAGATGTCATGCCTACAGGGTTTAAAAGATAAAATCAGCCTACTAAAATTAGTAACTGTTTACAGCTAAGACATCAGGTTTATAAAATGCTGTCCGGATATCACTTAGGCAATCTTGTAAGTTAATTGGATTCTGGGTTTAAAATTGCTATTTTCTTGCTGCTTAAAATCTGCCCAGATTCAGGAAGTAATAAAATCAGTAGGCAAACTGATTAGGTATCTACTGCCCCGCCTTAATGAAACTGCTGCATATTTTGTGTTCATCTAGATATCCTGCTATAGGACTTTAAATCGTTTAAAACTGTTTGTTTGAGGTGTGCAATTGTTTGTTTATTTGTGGAGGTAAATATGAGCCCTTAATTGCATCTTTATGTGATAGTCCTACTTGACTTTTTGTTTGTTGCTTAGTTTTCTTCTTTTAAAACAACATAAATGAGTCTAGAACTTCCTTAAATAGAGGTCCTAAACACCCCCACGACCACATGACGGGTAGTGCATGCATAAGGCATGTACTGGATACTATTAGAACGCTTAGGTAACAATATTAAGGGGAGGGTAATCGGGTAGTAAAGGATATGATGACCTATGCGCTAATGCTATGTGTAGCACCTCAACTTGGGGACAATTACCAAGTGTTGCACAGAAGTGCTCCTATAGGCTAATAAACCAAGGACCCCCTTTACTCCTTGTTTTAAAAGTAATGTCTGTTTGTTTAAATTACTTTATTTCCTTATAAGACTAATTCGCTTAAGTTGAGTTTGGCCAGGACCCACCATTGTGGACCTTGAGGGGTGCCTAACACCTTCCCCTCAAGGTAATTTCGAGCCCTTACCCAATTTCTGGTGATGTAAACTAGTTCATGAGTTATTTGCTCTAGGTGCGTTAGGCCGTTAGGTGGCGACTCTTCAAATCTCATACCCAATTCCCAAAAGAAAAAGGCGTTGTCCCAAGAATATCGAAACTCGGACTCCGCGAGGAAAAAGGGGGCGTGACAATGACATTAAATATTTTTGTTAATATTATTAATGTTCTTACATTATAAGCGCATGTGTTTTTAGTTTTAGTCTTATTGATTAGGTTAATACTAGAACACAAAAAATAGGGCAGATTAACATAAATAAAAATATGATAAAAAAAACATAATACATAAAATCTACAACATAAAATAAAAACTACACTTAAAACAACCATGTGTTTGTTTAGTCACTATCGCCCATTATTTTCTGCTTCAACCACTGAAATTTCTCTTGCAACCGATTATTTTCTTCTTCTGCCTCTTTTAGTTGCTCCTTCACTGCTGCAAGTTATTCTTTGAGTTTCCAGATCTGTATTTCATACTCCCCGGTACGATTCCAAAGGTTTAGAAAACATGATTTCTAGTATTCCTGGTTAATGGGTTCATCATACCATTCTTCAAAACCACATTGATTTTCATCCTACAAATGGTGATGATAACAAACGAATATTAATGAACATGTTATAAATAATCTATTAACCATCATAAATTTTAATATTAATAACTCACAACTTGTTTACACATCCAACGTCTGCACCCTAGATTGCAAGTTGACCAACATGGATTCAAAATCGCACGTTTGCCACAGTTACACCTAGGTACGTCATTGCGTCCAGACATATCGTATTACTTGAACTTGAAAATTTATGGAAAACTGTATTCTTTGTTTGGTTAAGAAGTGATGATCCGCAAAGAAAAATATAAAATGCACGGGATTTTTAGAGGTTAGAATGAGTGATTTTAGGTTGCATAACGCATATTGTTGATGCGCCATGTTTCACGTACAAAGGATTCTTTACGGCACAAGTGCATGCGGGCTTTTTCAGGTCGACAAGACAAGAACATAACGCATTTTGTTGATGCACTATATTTCAGGTAAAAAGGATTCTTTACAGTACAAGTGCGTGCAGGCTTTTTCAGGTCGACAAGACAAGACATATAATGCATATTGTTGATGCGCAATGTTTCATGTTCAAAGGATTCTTTAAGGTATAAGTGCGTGCAGGCCTTTTCAGGTCGAAAAGACAAGGCGCACAACGCATATTGTTCATGCGCCATGTTGAACTACCTCCTATTTGGTTCTTTTTAAGTTGAGCCAAATTTCCAGTTATTCATTGCAATAACCGTTTTAAAAATACCACTTATATTTAATAAGTGGTTTAAGAAGAGGCAAAAGGGTGAAGGTAGTTCAAAAGATCCAGATGGAACACGTCATAACACAATTGATCCCTACCTTGAAAAAAACATACTAGGTTGCTATATTGATTTGGTGGATGACAAGTGGTATGGTGTTTTATGTCCCTTAGAAAATAAGCCTATCAATATATATATTCATCACAAAATTGCAGGGCACATTATTGAGGGGGAAGAGCATTCTACAAAGTCTGAAGGTATGCGAATTTGTGGTAAAAAACTACAATAGCTTCCCCTATACTCAAAAAGGTGTGATTATGAAGTATTATGCCATTGGCATGGGCTAGTTGTACCACAAGCATTGTCTGCAATGTTCCAAACTAACACACGCAAAGATAAACCAAAAGTTATTCGGCATTTGATGAAGGAGATTTTAAAGGTTGAAAAGGCACTACCCGTTTATCATGCATTGGATGATCTTAACTACCTCCAAGGAATGAATGATCAACATTGGGCTTTATTAGAGGATGAAAAATTGCATAGAGACCTTGATTATCCTGTATTCTCGACAGTTGTTGAGTGGGAGAGACTACCAAAATTTCTACCGTAGACGTTGGATGTAGGAGTGCCATATTATTTTAGAAATTAAGCAAGTGGTCTTATTGATAATAGCGATGAAATACGAGAAATATGTGTCAATTGGGGCCCAGATTATGATGCCCTCAGTCCGGACGGATGCGAACAAGACGTTGACGAAGAAGATGAAGACAATGGCAATAAAGAGACCGACGAAAGTAACGATGGAATAGTGCCCGTAGTGACGATAATGGCGAATGAAAATCGTTATTTATGTCTTCAAGTTATTTTTAAGTATTGTATTGAATCTTCAATGCTAAATGTCAGTTAAGAATATTGGAAACATAATTCTATTTCATTAATATTGCAAGCACTCACCTTTACAGACACTTAATACAACTAAATATACTGCTACAAAAAACTATATTTATGCTTGAAAATTACCAACATTGGATGAACTGCCACCGGGAGCTGAATTCCCACCGATTCCCAAACCGACTGTAGGACATTAATGGCGATTATGTCCTGTTTGGGAATATATACCAAATTTATGCGCATATACGGAATCACTAACATCCATTTGGTTTCGTATGCGCGTTTTTTTCACTTGCCGGCGACACACAAAATCCTTGTTACACACCATTTTAAATGGTTCCGACGGTCAATAATGCTCAGAACTCACTGGTTGGAAGTGGCCGCTATAGGTATTTGTGTATGCAGCAACACTGTATTCTTTATCAATCTCGTCACTGCAAACTCAGCATGTTGAAAGCACTTCATGGCATGTGAGCATGGCAAGTGATAAATCGACCATTTCCCACATGAACATAATCTCCTAGATTAATTGATGGTGTGGGTGATATTATCGGAGTTTTGATGCAAACTGGTGTAAACTTCAAAAATATTTCGATCGCTGCAATATTGCAAATATGTATGCCACTATGTCCGCTTCTTATATTTCTCAAATCATTTCATTGGATGTGGAATAAATTGAACACCTATTTCCAATAAGGACGATGCACTGTGGGATCTTTCAACAACCCTCTACACCAGCTGCTTGAATGACATCCGCACTATGGCAGTGACAAGCAATCCGCGGGCAGACTTCAACAACCCGTTGAAAGACTCTAACACATTTGTGGTCAAAATTCCCCATCTTATGCCACCATCCTTATGCAAAGTCCATTTATCAAGCTCATTTCTCATCAACTAATGATAAGATTCTTCGTCTTCTTTCCTAATTAATTCCATTTGCATTCTGAATTTACATTCTTGATGGTCTGTTCCAGTCATCCACATTAAATCATGTAAGCTCTTCTTCGGATGAGCCAACTGGAAGTTGACCTTCAAGTGCCTAACATAGTAATAGTGCTAGGCGTACGACTCCTTCCATGCATCTAAAGTCTGCACAGAACTTAAAATCCCACCACGACGATAAGATATTAGACATACCTGAACACGGTCTCACAATATGCTGCTTCAAGTGTTTTAAAAACTATATCCAAGTTTCTTGACTTTCATTGGCACACATAGCAAGTGAGAGGGGAAATATTCTTCTTTTAGCATCTATTGCAATAGAAATCAACATATTTAGATCATACTTTCCATAAATATGTGTGCTGTCTATGGAGATTACCGGCCGACAATGAACAAAATCGTCAATGGATGATTTAAATACCCAGAACACATATCTGAATATGTATTCTGGTATGTTAGGACTCCGATCAAACTTCCATTCAACAACAGTCCTAGGGTTAAAGTGTTGTAAAGAAGCCATGTACCTCGATAGAGCGGCAAATGAATTATCCCAATTGCCGTAAACAATCTCAAACGAATGTTGATAAGTGGGGATTTTGACTACTTATTTGCATCTTTTGACTTTCATTTTAGTGCAAAAATATTGAAAGGTATTCTCGATAATTGATGAAATATGCTTAAATGCAGGAGTATTGAGAAATGAGCCAAAAATATGGAATCCAACTCAAAAAGGAGTAATATGGACTTAAGGACAAAAAGCAGGAAAAAAGGGCTAATGTGCGGACCGCAAAATTCCTTCTGCGGCCGCAGAATGCAAAGGAAATCCAACAGAGCCCAAGAGCAATGTGCGGACCACACAATTATTGTGCGGCCACAAAAGCTATGCTACATTTTAAGTTCAGAGAAGTCCCAGTTCATGCATCAAGATATGCGGCCGCAAAAGTCAGCCAGCGGCCGCAAAAGTCAGCCAGCGGCCGCACTCAGATTTGTGCAGTCAACAGAAAGGGCTTGTGCGGCCACACCAGGAAATGTGCGGACCGCAGAATACTCCAGATGTGACTGCATCCCAGAATTATGCGTCCGCAGAACAAGCTCCTGCCAAGAATGAAGAAGAACTGCGGACCGCACATGGAATTGTGCTGCCGTAGAACCTCCGAAGGGCAATTTTGTCTGAAAATTCCAACTGTGTATAAATAGTCTTTTTTGACGAAATTAGGTTAAGTTTTGAATATCTGAAAGTTTGTAGCCGTTTTTCTTTACTCTTTAGGGAAACTTTATCATATCTTGTTATTTTACTTTGGATTTTCATCTATTTATCTTTCAATATGAGTTTAATCATCTCTTCTTCTTTATTTCTTCATCACCCACTATGAGTAGCTAAATTTCTAGCTAGGGTTGTGAACTAACCCTAGTGTGGGTACCTAATGGGTGTTTGATTTAGGGCTTATTTATGGTTGGGTGTGTCGCGCCCCCTTTTTCTCGCGAAATCAGGTTTCGACATTTCTGGGACAACTCCTTTCCTTTTGGGATGGGGTAAGGGATTTGAAGAGTCGCCACCTAACGGATTAAGGTGCGTTAGGGCACCTAGAGTAGTTAACTCATAAAACTAGTTTACATTACCAGAGATCGGGTAAGGGCTCGAAATTACCTTGAGGGGAAGGTGTTAGGCACCCCTCGGGGTCCACAACGGTGGGTCCCGACCGAACTTAAATTAAGCAAATTAGTATTAAAAGGGGAGAAAAACAAATTAGATAGATAGAATATTCAACTTATTTTTACACAGGAGTATATAGGGTGGTCCTAAGTTTTTTAGCCTATAGGATCATTCCATGCAATGCTTTGCAACTCCCTCAAGTCGGGGTTTTACTCATAGCATTAGCGCATGGACTATCATTTCCTTTACTATCCAATTACTATCTTTCAGTTGTTACCTAAGCGTTCTAATAGCTTCTAACTCGTGCCTTATGCGTGCACTACTCGTCCCTTACCTATGGTCCTGGAGGTATTTAGGACCTCTATGTAGGGTGATTCTAGACTGACCTATGTTTCTTAAAAATGAGAAAAGCTAAGCGAAAAACAAAATTCAAATAGGACTATCATGTAAGGAGCAGACAAGGGCTCATATTAACCTCCACAAGTAGACAATAAATGCACACAATTAAATCAACGGATTTTGTTAATTTAGGATCCTATAGGTAGGATATCTAGATGAGCAGAAACAGAATGCAAGACAATATTTTTATTAAGGCGGGCACCGGGACCTATCAATTTGCCTACTGATTTTATTAAGCTTTGAATCTGGGCACTTTCAGGCAGTAAGACATCACAGTTTTAGACCCCAGAATCATTAATAACTCTTCAAATTTGTCTAAGTGATGAACAGAATCCCTATAGGCATGGTATCTACAACTGTTAGTTATAGACCTAATTACTGATCTAAACTCGTAAGGACAGGTTTTATCCCTTTAGATCCTATAGGCATGCTTTCTAAGTTGCAGAATTAATTTAACTCCTATAGACATGATTTCTAAGTGTTGACTTGATTTAAACTCCTATAAACGTGATCTCTAAGTTTATAAACTGATTTCACCCTACATGCATGATATCTATTAGTTTAAATCCTATAGACATGATTTCTAGGTTTGAAACTGATTCCTTTTATTCCTATAGGCATGATATCTAAGTTGAAGCTGGTTTTATTTCCTATTGGCATGAAATCTATTAATCACATGAGGGCAGAATTTTAAGCACATTGCCAGGAAAGTTTATTAGTTCATGCAAATAAGATCCTGTATACATGATCACTAATGCACGTTGAGATTGGAAATATATGTGGATCCTATGAACATGGATTTCTAATGAAGAATTAGAAAAATACCTATAGGCAGTGTCTCTAGTATGCCAAAAAATGTGAAAATGCAGAGTCACAAACATGTCAGGAAACATCCTATAGGTTGGATCTCTAAACGAGTAGTAACATTCACATAATCAACACAATAATCCTATAGGTAGGATTTCTACCCGAGTTTTAAACAAAGATATAGAACCCCCATCCAGCTCTTACTAATAAATCCCAGATCGGTTTATTACAGAAATTATTACATGATTATTGCCCATAATGAATATATTACATAACAATATCCATTACACTATAGGGAGCATTCATAGGCCTAATATAAACCTGGGAACCAGGCCTTCAAACACAACAGCTCTGAAATAATAGCAGTGATCCATTCACAACACCTTAAACCAGGCTTCCAATGTGTCAAAGTTTCCAAAGAGCCTCAGGGACCCCGGGCAATGCTCACACTAGAATCACACATTCAACACAAAATTCATTAAAGATTGGAAAACCAGCCCCAATGTGTCAGAGTTCAAAGGAGTCTCAGGGACCCTAGGTAGTGCTCACACTGGGGGTGGTGAGAACCTAAATAACTAAGAGTAGAAGTTTGAAAACCAGTACATAGAGGGTAAGGGGGAACATGTTTAGAAATCAGTACATACAGAGTAACAACAGGATTGCACCAAGGAACAAACAAAATTCATGTTCAGCATATAGTTCGAACAAGTTTGCATTTTGATTAGGCTAGATGCTAATATTAAACAATTATGGCTTAAGCACAGAAACAATTAGTAAACAAACAGGACACATGAAGTAGACATACATTGATCACATATTTCTAGCAAAGTTTAGAACATGAACTGAATTAGGAAGAGTTTCATATTTTTGAAGGTAGCTTAGCTTAACATCATCACTAGGTGGAATCAGGTAGTCACATAGCAAATAGGATCATGCTGGGAATTTAAACAGGTTAATCAAACAATGCATAGAGAAAGGCATTGCAAAGGTTAGGGCATACCAGTTGAGAAGAAAGAAAGTAAAGATGCAGTAATAGCTAGGTTTCAGAAAAATTTGGCCTTGGCTTTCAGCCGGCCAAATAATAGCCACTTAGCATAGAAATCAGAACAGGAGAAAGAGAGAGAGCTTAAGTTTTTGTAGTGAGAATAGGAGAGTTCGAGTGTTTTTTAAAGGGGAAACGGGAAGGGCTTAAATAATGCTCAATGAGGAGACAAATAAGGTAATGCATTAGTCCTACACAAATAAGGCATGAGAATAACATCACAATCAATCAGAGTCGGCTTCAATCAATTAACACGACATAACAATATAAAATCAGGCTAGTACCACTTAATTTAGGGAAAGCATTATATGGAATCAATTAGTATCTAAGAATGAGGTCAAATAAAGTAAGAACTAATTCTACAATCAACTAGGAGTCAGAACACAAAATCAGCCAGTAGTACGGGTACACAAGTAAGGTAAGAACAAGTAAGAACTTAATAAGGAAATACAGGTACTAAATTCAAACCCTTATTTAGGCAAGTAAATCAATTAACACTTTAATTAACAGAGCTAAGGTAAATGAGCAAGAACATATAGATAGAATCAGTAAGAAAAATGAAATAACAATCGGAAGCATAATTTTAGGGTAGTAAAATAAGTTAAAATAATCAAAGGAAGGTAACATGCATATGGACAGCTATAGGAAAGCAAACTACACAAATCAAGTATCGGGAATCCCGTGGCGCTAGTAAGTTTCTTGTTCTTCTTGTTGTTGCTGATTTTTGGGTGGTTCCAGCTTGTGTGAGAGGTTGTTTTAAGTGGTTTATGTTCTGTAAAATACTCTCCCATGATTTTTATATCAACCCTAGGTTATTTCAAGTCTTGCAAATGGATTACACCATATTTCAACATCAAAAGTGAAGAATAACACCTCTTTGAGGTTGTGTTGTCATTGAGGATAGTTGTGGGCTGTTTTGTGCTGAAATTTCAAGTTGTTGCTACTGTATAAGGTGAGTTTAACAGCCTACTAATTGTGCTTAAGCTTGCTTGTATGTTGGTTAAGTTGTTAGGATGATAAACTACAAGATAATACTTGGATTAGCTTAAGTCACTTCTATGGTGTTGTATCACCACTGAGGGCTGTTGTAAGCTAAATATAACTTGGATTTCGACTTGAAGCTACTGTAGGAGGTACGTGTATTGTGTTATTGCAGGTTCTTAAGGTTATCTTGATGTTGATTAAGTTAAATGGTTAGACTAGACATGAATTAGTGAATAAAGTTTCTAATTGAAGATAGTTGGAGTTGTGGATTGTTTCCTTTGTTATAAATATATGGTATAAGGGTGGAATCATTGATGAACTAATTCATTATCATTTTAATGATGCTGTTATGTTAATGTAAGAAGTCTATAAAGGGTGATATGGGTTATACGGATTCCAATCAGAGCTTGCCACTCGTCGTGAAGTAGTGTGACTTGTTGTTGTTATATAGTGTCTTGTTATTGATATTTATATGTTGATGGATTTCTCTGGTTGTTGTTGTTGGTACATGGTATTGGAGGAGGCCCTTGTTACACGGGAGATGCTGCCCGAATTTACGTAAATGAGCTACTAGCTTAAGTTACAAACATAGCCTTTGCTCAGCACTGATTTTGAATCTCCTTATACTATGATAGATTGAGTTAACTTGTTTGAAGAGTTTCTTGGAAGGGATTAAGGACTCAACGGGTTTAAGGTATGTTAAGGCACTTCCTTCTTTCTTTTGGCATGATGTAAAGTGAAATGAATATGCTACTTCATAACGGATCTACTCCTAGCAACTAAGGTTGTCCATGTTGTTATTTCCTTATAAAATTATTCTAAGCAAGTGTGTATGATCCTCGAATCCTACTAAGGTTCATATTGAGGGTACGGATGTCCATAATGTTCTTAAGTCACTCCAAAAGGTTTAGAAGGTGATTCTATGATTCTAGCATGCATTATATATAGTATCTATTTTACTCTACCAAGCCGCGCTATAGTCGGCCGGGTAAGGCACCTATTGTTCAACCACTGATCAGTTGGGTTAACCGAGCTCCACGTGGCCGGGTACGATTCAACCGAGCCTTATGATGGCCGGGTATGTTTTTACCGAGTCCTCTTTGAGGCCTGGTATGATATGATGATGATGCCCACAGAGGCGTATATTTTTAAGAGTTTATGTATGTATGTGTGTGTATATATATATATATATATATATATATATATATATATATATTATGCATTTCATGTCAGTAGCCCCCAAAGGCACTCAGATGTTACAGGTTGTATCTCCTCTATCTCTCTTTACATTACTGTTCTTGTTTATGCTTTCCTGCCTTACATACTCGGTACTTTATTTGTACTGACGTCCCTTTTGCTTGGGGACGCTGTGTTTCAGGCCCGCAGGTCCCGATTGATAGGTTGACAGTCTTCCTAGTAGGCTATCAGCTCAGCGGAGGTGTTGGTGCACTCCACATGCTCCGGAGTTGCCTATTTGGTCAGTATGCTTTAGATATGTATTGATTGGTATGGCGGGGCCCGTGTCCCGACCTTTATGATTTTATGTACTCTTAGAGGCTTGTAGACAGATGTCAGGTGTATGGATACTTGTTTGGCCTTGTCGGTCTATGTTTTGAGTTTACAAATGGTCATGTCGGCCTTATAGACCCGTATGTCACATGTATAAGTTTGTATATCATGTTGGAATCGTCATATGCTGAGTATTCCCTTATGCTTTATTCTTGTTATCTCATGACGGGTTTTCTGGCTCATTTACTCATGATAGTATGATAAGAAAGATATGTTACATCGGTACTCGGTTGAGTAAGGCACCAGGTACCCGTCGCGTCGTTTCGGTTTGGGTCGTGACAAAAGTGGTATCAGAGTAGTTCTGTCCTAGGGAGTCTACAAGCTATGTCTAGTAGAGTCTTGTTTGTGGGTGTGTAGTGCACCACACTTATAAGTAGGAGGTTGCAGGGCATTTAGGAGTGTCACTCTTTATTCTTACTCTAGATCGTGTGGTAGAGCTCAATTGTAAGAATTCAAACTTCTAAATTCTATTTTATTCGTAACATAATGATACCTCATCCAAACAGATAGTTGGTAAGAGATTAAATGTTGCTGTGGAAGAGTTGAGTCAATGGAACTTGATTTTGCATCATGCTTATGATGAGTAAATGTAAGGTATTCAGTAGATTATGTGTGTACTAAGACGCGTAAGTTTCTTGATAAGGAGGCCTAAGGCATGAATATCTTTCCACCCATATGGTTTAAAAATCAACAAGAGAGTCAGAAGTTAGATACAAGTTTCAACAAGTAAAAGGAGCAAGGTGGCGAAGGTTACGAGGTACCAGTTAGTGAAGGTTTTGAGTTTTTACAATTCAGGCAGAGAAATATTATATATTCTGAGTTACCTTCAACACTAACAGAGGTAAGTACAGTTGGTCACGCCCATCTCAGTATGTCCTATGGGAGTTGACAGATATAGTTTACGAGAAGAAGGGGATAGCAAGATCCAATTGGGTCTAGAATAACCCAAAATGGCAGATGGATTATTATCATAAGCTAACATTTCCAAAGGATAAATATATATTTCAAAGGTGGTAATAATTCTCCTTATGAGACACCCCGATGGTGCGATATAGAATAGTACATTTAGATATGAATACTAGAATGTCTGGAAAAATTTAGAAGATTGACACAGGAATCCTAGAAGGGATAAATACTTACCTTTGCATGGCTCCCGTTCCTAGTAAAGAGAGAATGCTAGGTGACCTAAAGAGCCAGTGAGATAAAGCAAGGGGAGCTAAAAGTGAAAGAATGTATTGTTGAAGTTATCAGAATAAAGTGATAGACAGAAATATTAGCTGGAGAATAAGAAGAGAGTAATTGGACTTTTTAAAAATGGGTCAAATATGGATAAGAACCATATTATCCATTTAGAAAATGGATAACCAATGAGTAACCAATGGATCTAACTTTTACATTTGTAAAGCCTCAAATTGGGGTTCCTCAAATTAGGGAAACTAAGAATTCTTCCAAAAGTGATCATATACAAGAAGTCATGAATAATATGGATAACCCACATTATCCGCCGTTAACCCGTTTTTTATCCGTATTAAATATGGGTCGGGTCGGATAATTGATCCGTTTTTATTACCCGTTTTCAACCCGAACCATATACGATCCGACCCGCCCGTTTGCCACTCCTAATCACGACCTTTTAATCGAATTATATTACTGTATCAGCTATAGTTCCGTCGTATCATTTTATATTGCACTACACTATTTATAGACTAGCTTTGTAAATGGGTTGACACTCTCACATCTTTCATGTAGTTTTTTGCATGAGTCATGCTTTTTAAATGAGAGCCTCCTTACTTTATAAAAAGAATATTGCTGTCGTTTTCCATACACATCTTTTTGTGTAGATGTAACTATAAAACTATTGCTTTTTATGTCATTTTTGAATGTACAAATCCTACTTTAGGTTGACACATCAACGTTGAATTTATACCGAAATTAAAATGTACCATTCTTTTTTACAAAAGTGTGTAAAAGAAATTTAAGCTTTCAATTCATTATAACGTAATAAGTGTAGTTAGAGATCTTTATAAATCATATAACCTCACACTATAAATATGAGATGATAAATGACTCGATATGCTCAACCCGCATAATTCTGTTTTGCCCTTACACGTCAAATTTATACGTGTTGATGATGAGTTATAATTTCAGGAATGAAAGTTTTTCTTTAATAATAAAAAGAAAATAAATGCTGCTTTCCTCAACACACTAGGGAACGGTTAAGGTTTGTGAGCAAATGCCAAATAGAAATAGAAGTTGCCCCAAAATCAGATACTACTTCTTTTCCTTACACGTATATGACACATGTATAAATTGCAAGAATGACTCATGCTCCAATACTCAAAATTAAACAACAAAAACCCCCCATTGCATAAACAACAGAATACTATTCAGGGAAAAAAATTAGAGGAGAATGCATCAAATCTCACAAACAGTTCTAAACTTTCATCCTCTCATAGCCCCAAATTGCTTTCCACTTTCTTCAAAAGACACCTGCTATATGATAAAAGCATCCCAAGTTTAAGAAAGAAAAAAACTTTAAAAGTTAGGACTTTTTGTTGTATTTATTTAATTTTTTTTGCAACCAGCTATTCCATCCGTTCCAATTTATATGAACTTATTTGATTGTGCGCGAAGTTTAAGGAAAAAAATAAAAAATTTAAAATTTGTGGTCCTAAATAAGTCAAGAAGGGATCCACTTTTCATTAAGGATAGAATTGTAAGTTTAAGCTAAATTCTTTCCTAATTTAGAAATGGGTCATTCTTTTTAGAACGGACCAAAAAGTAAATAGGATCACATAAAGTGAAACGGAGAGCAAGGTCATTCTTTTTAGAACGGACCAAAAAGGAAATAGAATCACGTAAAGTGAAACGGAGAGCAAGTACATTTATTCGTCTTCCGAATAAGAGGTACAAGAGGTCTGAGGGAGCTATAACTACACATTACCCCGTTCTGATTTGAAGATAGACTATCCTAGTAAAGCTGTGGATTGGCTCATCAAAAAGGCTAAACCCGCCATTGATGAACTAGCTGAGTTACCCGCCTGGAAACCCACACTTGGTTCTGTTTCTGTATCTGCATCTGCTGCAAACACTAGTAATCTTGAACAAGACCAATCTCAAGATGAGAACTTTACATTCCACCAAGAAAATGCTACTACTAATTTGTTTGATAATGCTGCTGGCCCTTCTAATAAAAGGGCAATGGCAACTCTGCGGAATGAAACCAATACTAGTGGTAGCTTTCTGCCTCCATCTTTAGAATCTGATGCTATTGCTGATACTATTAAGTCCTTTTTCCCAATGGGTTCTTCAACAGCAGCAAATTCTTCAGCTATGCAGTTTCAGAGCTTCCACCAAGAGACTAACAATATGTTGTCAAGAACCAGTAGCCAGAACCAAGATTTGAGGCTCTCTTTACAATTTCAAGATCCTATTTTGCTGCACCACCAAAACCAGCAAGCTCAACACCAGCACCAACACCAACACCAAACCAACAATCATAGGGAAGAGCTTCAAGCACAAGTAGGCCACTTTACCCCACTTGGGTTTGACAGCTCAGGCTGCTGGTCGTCTATGCATCAGCAGCAGCAACCAGTTGGGAGGGTGCAAAGACTTGCTTCTTGGAATGATAATAGAGACACTACTGCCCAAGGTGGTGGGTACTTGTTCAATTCACAACCAGGGCAGCCGCCGCTGCTGCAGCAGCTATTTGGCGGCCAAAATCAGTTTTATACACAGAGGGGACCCCTTCAGTCCAGTAACACACCTTCGGTTCGAGCATGGATTGACCCAACATCATCCGCCATTGCAATTGCCTCAGCTGATCAAGCAGTATTACCCATGTATCATCATCCATCCACAATTCCTCCTGGTTATGGATTTGCCTCTGAAATAGGCGGATTCTCTGGGTTTCGTATTCCTGCTCGAATCCAAGGTGAAGAAGAGGAGCACGATGGTATATCCGATAAGCCATCCTCTGCTTCCTCTGATTCTCGCCATTGAGTTTGGCTCCAGCAAAATTCTCTCTTTATCCGCTGACAGGTAATCATTTCAACAGTTGGTCAACTCTTAAATCTTGTTTGTGATTCCATTTCATTCTTGAAATGTTGTTCACTGTTGCATTGAGCTCAATTTGCAGGATTTTCTTTACTTGAATGAAATTGGAAACATACAGAAGTCATGCTGTAAGAGAGCCTGGAGCTGAGAGAGTTCATTATCGAGTCTGATTCAATGGCAAATGCACCGTGTCGAAATGAACCCTGATCATATTTTCAGGTGGTTCTTCGATTCGGTCTAATATTATTAGTTATTAAAATGTTCTTGCTTTCCGTTGTTGTGTAATAGAGCTTTTCAAGCTCAACTGCTACTCTAGGAGTGATATGTGTTTAGACTTTTCATGTTGCTGCTGTTTGCTTTTATTTCATGAATTAAAGACTTTCAAGCTAGAATTGGTAATGTTCTATTAACTATTTTCAAGTATTGTAGAACTATTTGCTCTTAGTAATAAGGCATTCTTGAATGTGATTGAGTTCCTAGATAACTTGATTGCTGTTTACATTGATTTGGGTTGATATTGTTGCCTTTCCAATTTTAAATTGTGAATGGCAGGGAAAAAAATGAGATTGTTTTCCCTGTTTACAGAAAAAGGGTCAATTTTTCATTTAGGTGAAAGAGATCTTTGTTTTATTTGGTAATTGCTTTACCACTTTCTGATAAAAACAGTTCATGTTTCAACCAACTTCTCAAACCCTCAAAAGGAATTGAAAGAAATACTTACATGGTCTTTTTAACATCCCTATCACTGCTAGGATTTTTGGGAGCATATTAAAAGTTAAGTCATTTTCTATGAACAGTTGGAGTAATTAAGGTGGGTTTGAGAGTGGTAATCTGAATGCTACCTTCAGCTTTAAACTTCCTTTTAGTGACTCCCATCACCTATATTAGCTGTCTTAGCTTTTATGGTATAGATCATTAGATTGCAAGACTAACCTTTATAGATATATAAGTTTTGAAAACTTCACCTACCTAATTTCCTAACATTGAAGGGTTTGGCAGCCATTCAAGTCCTTTTTTTTGTGTGTGTTGGGGGTTTTGGGGGGGGGGGGGGGGTTCTTGATTAGATTACTTTTTGTGAAACCAAGTTGCTCTCTTGTTAAATGAAAAGAGAAAGAAGCTGAATGAGAATTCTTTGCTATCCTTTAGAGTGTGATTCATATTTGTGGTAACAAAGGGTTGATCAGAGTCAATAGTTATAGAGTTATAGCCCCATAGAGCCTAAGTCATAAGTGTAGTTTAGCACACAAAGGAGAAGTTGCATAGGAATGTAAACTTGCCAAAGGACAGCTAGATGAATGTAGGAAGGTAGAAAAAGGTTGTTCTAGCTGAATGTAGGAAAGGTAGAACTAAGTGGGGCTAGCTTAGGCTTCATAAATATGAGAAATTGAACAGAACCAATCAATTGATATGTAAGATGAAGCAGAAACTGAATGATGGAAAGAACTAGACACATATACAACAAAGTATGGCACTTGGCAATCAATTCATGGTCCCCTACCCCTGTAAATCTCAGTACACCTCATAAAAGTCTTTGTCTAGTGGGGTTTTCTCCCTTTTCTTTTTATCTTTTTTTGGGGTTTATTGTTTACTCCATTGGGAAAATTTTAGTTAGACACATGATGGTTCTATCAAGACGTTGACAATTGCTTCATATTTGTTGTCACCTTCTTTATAGTAATTGATTATACTATCAAATAGGAAGATAAATGGACTTTTATTTATGGAATAGTATGATGGTATTATGAGAAAGGAAGTCTTAGAGTAACGATCAAGTTGTCTCGTGTGACTTATAGGTATAGGTCACTGGTTCTGGTTGGAATCATCCATTGATGCTTGCATCAGGAGACTGCCTACATTATGGCCCTTCCCCGAACCCTACATGAATGCGGGATGCTTTGTGTACCGGGCTGTCCCTTTTTTATGATGGTATTATGAGATGTCTTCTCTTAAGAAAGGTACACAAATTACAATAGTTAGGGGATTGTCTAGTGTTTGTAGGAATTTTGTTTAATGTGATTAGGAATTAGTAGTGTTTAAATAGGGCGTTTATTGTGGTGGAGATGCCTTGATGCCATTTATGCCAAGTATAAGGGGGAATGGCCTACTAAAAGACAGACCAACTAATGGCTTTTTATGGTATCATGAGTTGGAGCTTGCTGTGTTTTTGTTTCTTTATTGAAAGTATTGTATTCAGTGTTATAACTTCACCCATGTGGGATGACCGCTGTGACAGGACATGAATAACATTCTGCAAAGTTGCCATCACCTATATTAATCATTGTCAACTTTTTCCTTTTCCCTCTGCATTTTCTACCTTCTATCATAATCACCATCATTTATAGTACTAGATTTAATGTCAGTATAGAGCAGTATTAGTATGGAAAAGTGTACGTAGTCCAAAATATATTAGTCCAGTAAGGACCTTTTTTTAAAAGAAGTCCACAAAAACTAGAAAAACCCTCCTTAATTTGAGATATCATATCCTATGGTGGCTAGCCTTCTAAAAGAGACGGTATAATAGTATTTACCAAATAAGCTCTGAGCGCAGCTTGAATTTGGTTGGCAGTAACATCCTCAATCAGCTTAGTTGAGTTTACAACGACCCTTTCTTGAAGAAGCTCCTTTAAATTCTTTGTTGCTAGGAAAGTTCCCCTTTGCTTCATCTAATACACTGCCAGCCGACTGCCACAATCAAAGAGCTTTGAATTCACATCCTTTTTTCTTGTTTATCATTAAGAGTATTTATTAATTAAGAAAACTAAAAAGGTAAAGGGATCAACCTCTTTAGTCAAATTTTTTTCTTAAACGAAAATCCTGGAATAAATGTATTGGGCAATGCCTTTCTATCGATAGCAAGAAGCTATTGACTTCTTTTTGGTCATTTACTAAATCTTGCACGAGGTGTCATAGTGGGGCTTGTCTTCTCTTCAGTTCTTGGGTCCGGTCGAGCCTCTTTCGAATTACATTCTTGCGTCTAACTTGAGTTGTTTCAGCGGGTTGCTTTCTTATGAAAAAGAGAGGTTTCACCCTTTCTGCTTTTCTCCTCCATGCTTCAGTTGTCGAGTATGATTTGATATAATTTCAAAGTTTTAAGTTGGAGCCTCACGTCACATAGCAAATGTTTTGTTTTCAAATCACGTTCCTGGAATCGTCTTCCTAAAAAGAAGAGTCATTCATTTGAAAAAATATAATTTTCAATTGGTTCGGCCACATTGTGTAGACTTAACCAAAGTTTCCTGGATATTTGGTTTATTGATTGATAGGGTTAATGTTACTCGTAGTATTCTCCCGAAGTACTACTCGCATATTCAAACTAACCTAATGCCTATATTTCTATAGAATTAGGATTAATATGAACACATTAATAATTTTCGTATAATAACCAAGCAAGGCAATTAGGTATATCCCTATCCTAACAGCAAATCCGTTCCTCGTAGTTCAGGTTCAAGATCTCGCTCTACTCAATCTTATATGCAATCTAGAATTCCCTCTCCCAAATTCAATCCTACATTCGTAGATAGTATTCAATTGGTGATCAAGCAATCAAATAATTAAGTGCAAGATTGAATAAATAAACTAATATAATAAAATAATAAGAACAATTCAAGCTTCAAACTACAACGTCCATGTAGCACCCAACACTGTAGAACTAATAAACTATAAAGTCAAAGGAAGAGAAGATGAAGAAAAACTGAGAATCCTTGCTTCCGAGTGTTCCGTGCATGTATTTTTTTTTCTCAAAGTGGCGTCCTTCAAAGTATGTTAGCTCTCTTCTAAATTAGGTCTAGAACCCCTTTTATGCGAGTTGGGGCCGTGTAGGGCCGAAATAACCTTATTCCGAACAAAATAGGAAAAATTCCGTAACACATGAACGCGCTGGCTCTGGCGCCGGAGGCAGTAGCGATTTACAATATTGCTTGCTTTGAATTGTATCTCATATTTTTTGTCTTCCACTTGGGGGGGACGGACAAACACCAAAGGGTATCCCCATTTTCTCCTCTTTTTTTATTCGTTTAATTTCCTTTCTTTTTCTTCCGCGTTTTATTTAATTTTGCTCCAAATCTCTTCATCTTTACACCGCTTTATTCCTACATAATTAAAATATAATATAAGCATAAAATATTATAATTAATACTCAAAAGACGATTAAAAGTACTAAAATATGAGGCAACAATGGATAAATATATGTATTTTTGACCGAATATCAATACTATTTCAACATTGGTCAATAATCCTTCTTTTTAAAAAAAATAAATAAAGGTCACCATTGTAGCAAGATGTTTAGGCATGACCTCAACTTGTATATTAAAATATAATAAGTGAATACATGAAGAATTGGGACAAATATTCTATCCCTTTCCTGGATAGTAGTTTGGAAGGGGCATCTATCTCTACGACTACAACAAAAAAATGCCCCGATTATACAAAAATTTAGGGTATGGGACAAAAAGCTGATTTAGTATATACCATGTACTTCAAAAACTAACATCAAATATTTTCCTTCTAGTTTTGATTCTGAAGGTGATGAGTTGATCTCTATCCATCTTCATAGAAGCTTTCACTTTCCGTGGTAAAGTATTAGCGTCCATGAAGATATTAGAGGCTTTTGTGTACACTCCCCAGTTGGCAAGCAAATCAGCAGTAGCATTTGCTTCCCTATAGCAGTGAGTAAATGTATAATTGCCCTGGTTCTTTATATTCACAATCTGGTTAATCAATTTGTGTACGGGTAAAATTAGGGGCAATGTCTATCCCAATTTCCCGATAAAAGAACGAAGGGGGAGCACGGATCCACGAGATTGTAATTGGGGCCAGAGACCCATCGTATCGAGACCCGGGAAGGGTGAACAATATATCTGACATCGGACACGGTAAAACGATGCACCCGGGACCGAGTATAAGTTCTAGACCTTGAGAGATACGGTGAACGGTTATGCAGGGCGGATAGAGGGTCGTAATACTCGCCCTCAATCGGATATCACGGTGAAAATCTCGCTAAACATCGATTATGGATCAACAATTACCGGGAAACGAAGATTTTTACCTTTTTTAGACTTATACTAGTACTGAACTCTCCTACTATATATGTTGGAAAGTTGAAACCCCAGATCAATTTGGACATTAATGGCGGAATAAATTTTGAACCAGGAAGAATAAGAAGGGAGAAGATGAAGTTAACCTAAACTTCGATATATCCTAAGTATGTATATGCCTTTGTCGGATTTCTTCTCATTCAATCTCAGCCACACATCACATATTGGAGAAGGTAATCTTGGCCACACATCAACTCTGATGGAACAAATCGTGGCCCTTGGTTTATTTAATTACTGGAAGCTTCTCCTCAGCTGAAGCTCACGTGAGGGAATTATTTAGTTAGGATAGGAATTTTCTGTTATATTTGCACAAATAGATATAGGACAAGTGTACATAGTATTTTCTTTATTTCCTTATTTTTATTCAACATTCAA